GGGTTTTTAGTCCAATCCCTTGGGTGAACTGCCAGCGATTCAGCAACCCGATCATAGCCCCGGATATTGGTTTTCTGTTCTTGTCCTTTGTTGGGAAAACCACTCCGACACGGGAAGGTAGTGAGCGGTATCTCTTTTCAGCAGAAGCTGTTTGAGGCGCGTGATCGTAAAAGAGAATTTTGCGAGGTGCAAGAGCAGGGTGACCAGTCATGATCCGAGACATCCCACCTCCGACCATGCTGAGACTACTTATAGAAGGATTCATCTCTTGTTATGAATTGACCGAACGCATTTGATTGTTACACCTCATGAAAATGCAGGCTTATTGGATGAACTATTTGAAACTGACTGCATTGATAAAGTACNACTCCAAATCGTAGTGCATCTCACACTTGTGAGTTGGGGATTGGGGATCTGGGGCGGGGGCGGGGGACATGAATTTACTCACTTTAATTTCATCGTGTCGAAATCCAATCAGAACCTGTTCATTGAGCACCTCGTTAGCGAAGCGTTGTTCCTCTTGGAGACAGAAACAAATCAGGATTGTGGACAGGATATGCTGAAACGGAACAAAATAAATGAACAGAAATCCCCAAATGTGATAGAAAGAAAATACGACATCACGTAAGTGATCTGAAAAATGTCGGGCCACTTATTAATACTACAAGTGTTATAATTACAAAGTTACCGCGCTGGCTTGAAAGAAATTGTGCATTCAAAGAATACCACATAAAATAGGGTCGACTAAGATTACACAGAACGCAATATCTGATTTGCAACAGCTAGTTAGTATTTTCGTGTACAACTAGGCATTCTGATTTAGTCACAATTGAACAATTCTTTAATCTACTCGAAGATGCCGTGAACCGCCAACAAACACCTCTTTGAGCGCGCATACTAATCACAAATGTGAGTAGTATCTTACGACACTAGTAGTAGTAGTAGTGGTAGTGTCATTAGTACAAAGGACAGTAACATAACCGGAATGCGTGAATCAGATGCACAGCGCTATTTTGGATTACTATTCCAGGAAAATTTTACCTTCATATGCAACGCTTATAAAATCCTCCGTCGTTTCTCAGATCACGACACAAGCGATCCTAGTGTTTGCTTGGAGGATGATAACCAGGTTTAACCCGGTTAGTTCTGCTCCATTGTGTGTGTGTGCCACTTATCTGTACTAATGTGCACACCTATGTTACATTTTGTACTAGTAGACGGGTGAGTTGTTTTATAGCGTTCCGCTTAAAACAACCATTGGGCTGCCAACTGTCACAATCTGAATCAGATGTATTGAATTTCATGAACAAGCTCGCTCTTCAATTCGTATGGGCTAGCATAAATAATGAATGCATTCGGTGTTCTACTTTCTTCCAAAATTCCTTGTGTTTAAGATGTTTGTTATTGCGGATGAACAACTGAACTGTTGCTCAGAAGAGACGACCATGAGTAGCCGAGTTTACCTCTCTCTCTCTGTTCCGAGAGAGAGAGTGGAACGAATTGAATATCATAGTTCTGCATAGATTGAAAGGGTAATCACACGCACATTTCAGGGCGCCTCCCGTTCGCCAAACGGTCGATTATTTTCATGAATCGCAAAGATGAAGTGCCGATTTCCGCCTTTTCTATGATTGCCCAGTCAGTTGTTTGATCATGTTAGGCAAGCCACAAAGGTGGAACTATCAGGCAGTGTTTCCAGAGGTCCGAGGAACACAAACCAGCTTTACTGACTACTGGGGGACAGAAAAAAACCATCTCCAGTGCCAGTGTGGAACATCTCAAAAGCGATTAAAACTGCCATGGCTCCATTGTGAGTTCAGTCGCATAAGTAAGTGGGTGAGCAGTTCCATAACCCTAATGGCCTTTTCGATTGACCCCGAGACCCAAACAGGAGATAGTTAATCATGACTCGGTCCTAACCCTTATGTGCTTCGTCCCTATTCCAATCCAACCAACACTCCATTTTTATTTGCAAGCTCACACAACCAACCAATCCAATCAATCAATCAATCAATCAATTAATCAATCAATCAATCAATCAACTCTAAATTCCGGGTACTGAATAACTAGATAGCCATGGTAGTTGGCGCAGTGGTAACGCACATGCCTGTTATGCGATGGATCCGGAGTTTAAATCCCGGACGGAACGGTGGATATGCACTACTGATGAGCTCTAATAAGAGCGAAACTTGAGTCTAGTGCTCCGGAGTGTGTATGATTGCCTCTATGAATTGAGGACTGTGCGTGAAGGTGAAGTCCGAAGGATAATCAGTTCAAATCAATCGAGAAGAATTCACCTGATAACAAGGTTATGACTGACACATAGGTGAAACACGTGACCGACAATACCTGGACATTATCGGCTAGGGAACGGGACAACGGTAGAATTTGCGAACTACGATCAGATTGATTTCAGACCACAGAATTGCATTGGACGGAATAAATGAATTCGCGATCTGTGGGTGACGGTGGGACTAGGCGCAATTTTCAACTTTCTGTTCAAACTGAGTCAAATTTCTAATGCGTATTTAGTGAATAATTGGGCTGTGCTAGCATGTGCTCAAAGTTTCACCGTACTACAGAGAAACCAGTGTCAGAGTGACAGAAAATATGTGAAGAAAACACGAGTGGTGTTATGTTGCGTTTGCTCTAACTCCCTGAATCATCCATCATCAAGCATACCGAAGAATAACTAATGTATCCTCTCGGTCCATAGAATCACGGGCCCCCGTTATCCCATGTGACCAGAGTGACGGGCAACCAATCTCATTTGTAACTTTTAAACACTGAGTCTTTAGTGACAAAGTACGTTTGCTGATATTCGCCTGAAACGGTCACTCACGTTCTTTCCGGATATCCGTCCCGAAAGGAAACAAAACGAATAATTGGGATTATACAAAAGATATGTTCTGAAAATTACGAAATGTTGGTCTAGCTTAGGCTGGTATTTTAGAAATGGCAATGGAAATCTCAAATTAGATGTGATCAGACCAAGGGAGGCGTGCGATAGATGGCTTATCGTGGGGAATTGTGCCGGTGGGGTCTTTTCGAGCTCATTAAAAGCACGTTAATAGTT